TAATTTTTTATCAGATTTGACCGGTTATCGATTTTGAGAGGATCGATTTTGGAAGCTTATATATATATATATATTATTTATGCTAATTATGTATAAAAATTTTTTTAATAAATGCATTTTAAAATTCAAGTTCATGAATGTTTAAATTTATTATTACAATAATGTTTAATATAAAAAAATAAAATAAAATAAATAAAAATAAAAATAAAAATAAAAAAATAAAAAGTCTATTAAATTCATAAATAATTAATTAACTAGCTCCACACGTGGCACCATGTGCCACATTCTATATTTATTATGTAAAAATCGTTTATTTTATAATATGACATGTAATTTAGGGTATAAAGTCTTGTAGTGGAGTTATTACTAGGAAGATAAATAGAAATAATACAAAATTTAAAATTGTATTTGAAAAAATGATCTATATACATGGCATATCCAGGGTAAGTAACTATATTATAAATATAAGAGTAAGATGATTGCGAATCATAATAGCAGTACTAGCTTTGGAGCTGTCTGTACAGAACCAATAATAAGTAAAAAAAGAAGTTGAGTGTGGTTTTAAGTAAAAAGGATTGAAAGCAAGTTTTGCTTCAGACAAGCAGATGATATCAAAGTTGTTGTTTAATCAATATTCTTCCCAAACTTGTTATTAGTCCTTGGTTAAAGCCACAAATATTATGAGTACAAATTAAAATATTGAGGGGGGAGTAGGAAGAGTTGAGAATATTAGAAGTGAAATTAGAAACAGGATTGTGGGTATTATTTGGTATAGAAGAGTTATGGGTATATGTTCTAAGAGGAATAGAAGGTCTGAGATAAATAGTTTTATAATAAGATACAATAATATAATCTGGTAGAGGGCAGGATTCTTCAGGTAAGTAGATGTGAGCTTCACTAAAATCTGTTTTAACAGATATAACAATTTTTTCGTAGTGCTTATTCCATAGACCAATGGTATTGAAGTGTAATATGAAAGAGTTAAGAGTTTGTGGGCTTTAATAAGAGGGGAGTTTTGGGATAAGAGAAATCAATTGAAACAAATTAATGGATTATAAGATGTAGGAGGTATATTAATATGAATCATATGTAGGCCTTCTACAGAATTGCCCACTATATACCCAGCTCTCATGGTTCCACAAAAACTAGAAGTACTCTAGTTAGATGTTAAAGTACTATTGTTATCTAATTCTTCCAGGTATAGTGGAAGTTTAAAAAAAAGAAAAATAAAGCAGAAAGAGAAAAATAGGTAGTATAAGGAGCACAAGGAGGCACAGATTAAAAATCTACAGGGCTGACAGGCTAGCAATTTTGTAAATACATGGCAGCAGTAGAAAATGTTTTATTTGCAATTTAAGAAATCTATAGAAAATTATTCTGCAGAAGAATCAAGTAAAACTGATAAAGATATTATCAATAATATTTGTGTATTATTAAATATCAATGAGAATTCAACTAGTATATTCAATTTAATTTATTCAAAATTAAATCAAGTTTTTTGTTCACTGCTTGGCTTTTATTTTTATATTCCATGTATTTATTGTTAATTATTTCTTTAATATCTGTATTTTCGGTATCAATCTTATCTTTGAGGTCACTTTCAAGATTTTTAATTCTATTTTGAAATTTCTCTTTGATTTTTTTGTTTTGTTTATGTAGAAATTTATTTTCAGTTTCCAACTCATTAGCTTTTTTTTCTTTTCCTTATTTTCATTTCTAAGCTTTTCTTGTTTCTCCTCCAATACTTGAGCATATTCAAAAATTTTATCAACTATCTCATAATAAAAACACACACAGATCCAATTCTTAATAGGCAAATATTCTAACTCTATCCTGGCATTATTACCCAATTCAATATTCAATATGAGAAATCCTATAGACAGTTTTAGCCATTTACTCTGGATCAAAAAAATCAAAAGTTTATATTAACTATTATGAAGATTAATGTTTTTGTTAAATATATGAGGCATATTAGTTCTATTGAAGTAAAATGAGTGTTTTATTGAAAAAATTAATGAATGAAATATTCAAATAAATCTTCCTTTTATTCATTGATAATTCTATTATTTGTGGATTTTAAAAATTCAATAAAAGTAGTAACAGCTTTATAATTGGATTTGATTGGAAGTTGTCTTTCGACAAATTCTTTGAAAGTCTATAAAGAATTGTTTAAAATGAATACATTTTTAAGAAATTTTTTATTTTGTTTTTTCTATAAAAAAATTATTACAATTTTAATAAATAAAAAAATACTTTAAATCTTTTATAATTTTCTGTTTTTTTTTTTTTTTTAAAAAAAAAATATACCTTAATATATTATAGTCAACTCTTCATATAGTCACCTCCTATATAATCACATTTTTATTTATGATTTAATTTATAAGAAAAAATCTCCACATAAGCACAACCCATTTATAAGCACATTCTTAAAAAAATTTACTATGTCCCAACTATGTGTTTGTATAGGAGGACGACTGTATAGCATTAATATTTAAAAAAAATTTCAATTGACCAGCATATGATTTGTAAATTTTTTAAATTGGTAATGCTAGAGGGTTTACACATTGATATCTCTAATTAACCCTAGGTGTCTTACAAAAAATGTGTGGCAGAACTTCGATTTTGATTGGCTAACGGCCGAGGATCTTCAAAATTTTGGCCAGCATTACATAATTGTTTACTAATTTCCGGCCGGAATTAACTTTTTAATTTTTATTACAAAAATAAAAATTTTTAAAAAATAGGCCCGCATTATGGTAAAATTGAACAATTTTCACTTAATAGATGGCTGCGATTTTATTAGTAAAATTAGGAGTAATTCCGGCCTAATTTTTTTGATCGTTGCTCTTAGCCAATCAAAATCGAGGATTTTTTGAGCTATCTTGTAAATGATCATCATGTATTCAACCAATCAGAATCACGGAAGCAGACAGCAGACTTTTCATGTGATCTAAATCTGTTAATTTTTTTAGATCGTTCAAAATTGATTAATTACTTAATGTCACTTTAAAGAACCCATAAAGCTTTATTTTAAACCCCAATTTTTCTGATAACAACTAAAAATTTAGTTTATTTAATAGATTTTAGATAAATACTGATTTAAATTTACAACGTTTTAAACGCGTATACTTATTTGTGCAAGTGATACAAGAAATTAGCCAATCGGAGAACGTAAAATGTGATGATCCCGGATCAGCCCGACACGTGAGCAAAGCGAAAAAAAAACACAAAAAAAACGAAAAAGAGAAAATACTCAAAAACTAGTGTTTAAATCGACCTTGTTGGACTAATAAAAAATAACGGGAATGAAATTTTACATATAAAAAACACATTATCACTAAAGCTCACAACCCTAACACTAACCCTAACGCTAACCCTAACATCCTAATCCTAAACTTTCTTCGTTTATTTACAAATATGATTTTCTTTTTTGGGTTTGTACCACTCGCAAAATAAGTAAAATCGTTTTAAACATCGTCAATGATCCAGTATTAAATTTTGTCGATTATCCTGAAGAATTATATATATAAAAACGTTCAGAATCAAATCGCATTAAGTCACATAAGTTTATGTTTTTAGATCACGGTATCAATATCTAACACGTACAAACTAGTCATGTACTGTATATCTTAGAAGTTAAATAAGATGCTTAAAACTTTTATTAAAAATAAAATACGTATCTCAAACTATAATGTAAAATGGAAATTTAGTTAAATCCGATAACTTTAGTGCACAAAGGCGGAACACCAAACTAATAGTAGAACGCATTATTATCCCATAATCAGAGAGTTTATTATCATCGTCTAGTTGTTTACCAGAAAATATAAGACGTTGTTGATCTGGTGGAATCCCAGTGGCGTCTTCGATTAGGCGTTTTAATTCAACAATGGCGCCAAATGAATTTACTTCAAACACCATGGTCTTACCATCAAGACCCCTAACAAAGACCTGAAAAGAATATTCAAGTCGAAGTAATCTTATTCTTGTATAAAATAGTATACATTCATTTTCTAATTTGTCACCTTTATACTTAAAATGGCGTGATGAATAATGTTTAAAGTCTTCCCAAATTTTCTGTTTTAATTCTTTGATTGTATCTGTAGGCAAGACATCTAGCTCTAAAGTTTTTTCATCAGGAGTTATTACACAGACCTTAAAATAGCGATAAGCACTGATCATAATGTTAAGTGTAACTCCATTATGTACATTAATCTGAGAGTGAACGATCGTAATTTGTTATTAATTTACCAACAAAGCTACATTTTTGTTCGTGCGGTGGATTGCCTATTTGCTTTTGAATTTGTTTTTTTACACTTCCAATGGTGTCTGATGATGGTATGACTTCCAGTGGAATAGTCTCATCAGTAAAGATTTTAGCAAAAATCTGTATATGATGATTTTGATAATCTTTACCATCTTCTTCATCTTCACTTGTAGAAATCTGACGTTGTTGATTTCTTATTCTAGGTGGTAATTTTGGAATCAAAGTCGTACGAGAGGGAAGAGTTAATGATGAAATTGGTTGATTCGGAGACATAAGCCTGGTTTTTATATCCTTCCAAAGATTTTTTCAAGGATTTGTTTACATTAATAAAAATATCCTCATCAGAGATTTGAAAATAACGAATATGAGGCAAACAATTTTGTAAAGTAATCTTCATCGCTAAAAAATTTTCATGAGTCCATTCTTCAGGATTAGATGTTAAACCAGGATTTTTGGCGATCCTCCGTTTGATGATACAATTCCAAATTTTAACCTCCTCCATTTTCAAATCATCGCGCTCGATAAGTGAGATCAATGCATTTTCTTGAAGTGAATAAAAATCTTCCGAATCAAAAACTGTTTCTGGATATTTATTATGATATTATTGCACCAATTCTGTAACTCTTTGATTTTATCCTTTTGAAAACTTATTTTATGAACATAAGCAAAATGCAAACGGAGCTATGAAGCTTTTTTTTCAATTAAATGAATTTCAAATCTTCCAAAAAGAGCTCATAAGTAACAAGCATTAACTTAAAAATAAACATTCAATCCAACTCATTCAATGAGATCACTCCTCCGTATATGTACCTTCAATATATAAATTTAACAATTTTATGAAATCTAAATATAATTTTTAAAAAAACTATTTAATTACTTACCTGATGATAAATTCAAATTGTTTAATGGAAACATTATTTAAGTTTATTGTTTTAATGTTATTTCTATCCACATTGATGTTTGTTAATTCATTTAATTACTTACCTGATGATAAATTCAAATTGTTTAATAGAAACATTATTTAAGTTTATTGTTTTAATGTTATTTCTATCCACATTGGTGTTTGTTAATTCATTTCGAAAATATAAAGACCGATTTCTTAAAATAGCTGAATGTACTTTGAATGTCTTAGTGCTTATAGTAGATTCATTATTGTTAATAATTACGTTAAAATCTTCATTATCATCAAGAATATCAAGATAATTATTTGAAAGATTTTTAAAGAATTCTGCTGTCATTTTTAATGCATTTTGTGGTTGAATTAGAAAAGGTTTTCAATATGGATTTGTAAATTTGAATATCATTTAAACTAATTTGCTCTTACAAAGCATGGACACGGGCACAAACACAAACACAAAAATTTTCATTTAAAATTTGTGACCGGATCTTCAGTTATAACTCACATGTTGATCGGCAGACCAATAAGTTATATGTTCTAATTACTTTATGATCACCACCAAAGTTCGGTTATATGATATACGCACTGCGGTGGATAATAGTACGCGGGATTTTTTTTTATATATAGTAGATTCTAGCTGCAAAACTTGTTGACTTATTGACTTAGCTGACTACTGATCAACAAAGATAACAAAAGATAACTTGGTTAATGAGCTAAAAACTATTGGTCAAAGTTTAGTTATTTCTCGTAAAATCTTTATTAAAAGTTAAATTTAATATAATCTCTAATAATGTATTATTTGAGCGATGTTACAACTTTTGAAATGGTAGAGAAAATAGTTATCATGCACCAAAATAAATGGATACTAATACTAGCTTCCTTTTCTTAAGAATCAAGATTTCTATTTGAGCGGTTGCATATATTGAGTTTTTGATAAAAAAAATCCGAGTTTAAACTAGAATTAGTTTAGTTTTTAAAGCATGCATGTTATGATTAGCTGAGAGAATTAATGCATGCATGCATCCATATTTAGTACCTCACGTCACATGAGAATGTTCAGTTATAAATATAAACAGTGTCATTTATTACTTACTAATTTAGCGGGATCACAATTGAGCCCACTTTGGAACCTTTTTACAAAATTAGTTTATCCGTTTATCCAAAAAAAAAAAAACTCGGGATAATTTGTCTGATTATGCCAATTGCTTAAGGAAAAGAACAATGTACAGCTATATGGCTTTGTCACATTGTTCTTGTATGTACGTACGTACGTACGTATTACATGCATATGCTATGCAATCGAAAAAATCAAAAATTTACTCGTATAATGGCATGCATAAGCGCCACAGAATAGTATAAAAAGTAAGGCGCTCGTACATAGCATTAATCTCACATAAAGGTAATAATGAAATCTCTGAAGTTTGTAATTATAAAACAAAGGAATAATCAGCCGATCATTCTAGTTGTTTTTAGATTATGCATTTTGAAAGTCTGCTTCCCATAGTGTGTAAAAAAAGGTTCAGATTTAGATATGCAGAATTTTTTTGTGGTACTCAAACATAAGTATTTAAATTTTATGATAGATTAGTTTTAAGTACTGTATAAGCTAAGGTTTAAAATTGAACCTGTCATTCAAAACTCCGCAACGCCGTACATTTAATATTTCATTGATTTCTAAATAGTGCATAAAAAAAAAAAAAAAAAAAAGGAAAGAAAAAAATGATAATAAGTTGCGTGTATTTACAGTATAAAAATTATGTTGTCCTACAAACTGATATTTGTAAAAAATTGTAAAAACGGCAAATAGCAACCTATGATGCAAATGATGCAAATATTGTATGGCTTGATAGTAATCACGGAAGTGCATATGCTGAGATTGGTTCATCATCCATTGATATTTTCATTGTATTTGTTGTTATCACGAAAGTAAAATTCTTTTATTCAAAAACTGTTATCTTCTACGGAAGTTGATTTGATTACAAAAGATCGTATCCAGATTTTAAGCAATTGATGTCAGATAAGCAATTAATGATAATACTGCATAAACAAATCATTATTTTCCCTCCTAGGTGCTTGGAAAATTTAATGACCTTTACAATGGATTATTACCGAAAATATCTGCCTAAAAACAGATATAAAATAATATTTCCATCCATACGACCGTGTGACTAACTGCTTATCTGATTATTTAATATAATTTTTAAATAATAAACACAACAACGAAGATTCAGTTGCAAATAATATAAAAAACTAGTGGAGCTGCATCCCTCTGTTTCTTAGAAACATAGTACCCTTTCAATTTGAAATTAAATATTATTTATACAAAATTTATAAACACCTAAAAACGTTTTTCTAAATATTCTTTTTTTTTTTTTTCTTTTTTAAAAAAAAAAGAATTTAATTATGAACCAATCTACAAATCAAATTGTTAGTGCACAACAGCAAAATATTAATGGCCAACTACGAAGACTCCAGAACACAGCAAATTTATTCACCGGTACTTTAACTGCAACTCAGCAATACAATAACCTAGTTGGAGGCGCGGATCCTTTCGCTAGAACACAAAGAACACAAGAAGTAGAAAATATACCACTACAAAGCGCTCAATTTTCAACACTGCTGATTTCAGGTTATTTATTTCCGTAAATACGGCTATGCAAAAATATGCTTTAAACTGGTGTTTTTCCGTGATAGAATAATGCTAAACTCTTTTTATAGTTATATAAATTTTTAAATTCTAAATATAATGTTCTTTAAGAGTGTAATTATAAAAATCTAAATTGTTAATTATTATTTAATATGGCATTAGATATATGCAATATTTGAGTGAACATTTGAGAAAACATTGGACGTTAGAAAGATAAACCGATTTTAGTTTAGGTGCCATATGCTCTTATTAGTAAATATTTTATTACATATACAGGCGAAATTCTCTTCACTTTGTAAGCATAACAGAGAATAGCAAAGTTTGTTTATTATTAAATAAAGGACATTATACTATCGATCCTAAACTCAAATATGTACGTTTCCGAATTCCAAATCACTAACATAAATCTTCTCGCATATTTAAACACTTACACTATAATAAATCACTTCACATTTCCCGTTCTCGTAACTTTCTGCTTGTTAGTTAACGATACTTACAGGTTTTACTACATATTGACGAATAGTGTGATATGTAAAGCAAATAGTTTTAGTCGCTTCAAATTCAAAATACGAAATTGCATTAGTCTTTATAAAAGCCCACAATCGTATTTAGCTTGTGTTGTGACCTGAGGAGAGACTTATGAACTTCGATGCCAATTTAGCTATTGGGCCACAATATTAAGGGTTTGGATGTTTATAAATCTTAATATTGTGGAGCGGTTTATTATACTTATTATTATGAAACTAAAGAAGGATAATCAGTTATCCCCTAACAAAATTATTTTATATTTGGACACTCTGTTTTTACGTCTATATTTGATCTACGCTGTCACGTGCATTCTGTCTGTTGTAGAGGTGCGACCAATAGCCTGATAACTAAAACTAATCTAACAACTATCTAAAACTCCGGGAATCAATATAATCTACTATT